TTTACCTGGAGATGGATTCACGCTTTTCAATTGGCACTAATGCCATTGAGAATGAAGACACACAATGATTTAATTATATCAAGTCCGAATCACACAAGTTTGATAACAGGTAATCTTTTTTACCCCTTCTTGAATTTTATTTGATAACTTGTTTACCCTAATCTTTGTTATAATCTGATATGTATAAAGATCAACTCCATAATCATAATGTGTAGAGCATTGTGCCTTCCATCCTTCTGAACTCTTTATTCAATCAACATAGTTGTAGATTGAATAATTGTTTCATACACCTGAAAAGGATGGTTGGAATGTGATAGTAACAAGGCTGAGGATTATTTACAATGTTGTCCTCATTTTTATTGAATGTTGTACACTCTGGCCTTCTTCAGGTGATTGGAATTTCAAACTTAACCACTGGGTTAGATTGTTCTAGTTCCACATGGCATGCCTCTTCTGGATGTCTCAGTTATCACCCTTTAACTCAACACTCCAAGTTTTTGTTCACCATTGCAGTAGGCAGTATTGAACTCACAACTGAAGTTACTGGATCTAACCAACACTTTTATCCACTTGGCTATGTGTCCTTGAGGACATCAGTATATGAATTTTGGGGAATTATAAACTTAATGTCTCAGTAACATTTTTTTTTTTTTTAACAGAACTCATATTTTTCTTATTATTGCGTTTCTCTAGCACTCTGTATTACTGGTTCCCATATTGTATTCATTTCTATGCTTGACCAGCTTAGGAGATTTCTGTGGCCTAGCATATGTGCTGATTCCTTAAGTTTACGTATTTTCCAGTAATGTTCTCTATTATTTCAACCTCATCCCACAGGGGGTACTGATCTCCCTTTTCCTTCCATATGTGGTCAGCTATGCCTGATTTTTCTATTTCCCCTCGTGTTATGGATTTATGATATTCTTTCAGCCTTACCTTAAGGGGGTGGCCTGTTTCTCCTTTGTATTTAAAAAATGGTTACTGAGACATTGAGTTTATAATTCCCCCAAATTCATACACTGATGTCCTCAAGGACACATGACCCAGTAACTTAACCCAAAATGTTCTGAGTTCAATACTTACTTGGCTATTGCAGCAGTGAAAAAAAAAACTTGGAGAGTTGAGTTAAAGGGAGATAACGGAGACATACTGAAGGGGTGTGGAATGTGGAACTAGAACAATCTACCCTGGTGGATAAAATAAAGGATTCAGTTCAAAATTCCAATCACCTGAAGAACATACAACAGCTGAAATGGCGTGAATATGGCAATAAAGATGAGGACAACAGTTTGAACAATGTAAATTACAATACCTCATCTCAAAACTATAGACAGATAAAGATGAGGATATTAATCTGATTGTAAATGATAATTCCTCATCTCAGAAACTCAAACTTTTTTACCCATGCCATAACCATAAAAGATAAATTCTTACTATTATTGCTATAGTCTGTTCTTTCATGGAGTTGATCATTAGACACACCAGATTCATAAATATCAACAGTTCACCATTGCCACTTGGAATTGCTAGATCAAGGGAGATAAATCTAGTATAACAAAAAAATAAAACAAAAATACATGTGGTATATATTATATATAAATAAATGATGCTTTTAATTTTATTCTAACTTTAATAGTGTATTTCATAGAAATTATAAAAATCATAAAATGAAAAAAATGATATGGAAATTAGTTTAAATAAATTAAAAAATAAAGAAACTTGATAAAACCATGGACAGTGTGGACATAGGAATTAACAATGCATGGTGATTGTAGGCTTTACACCTCAAGTGATTTTCAGATGCAAAATGGTTTGAGCAGTCACCATGATTCCAATGTACATACTGTCTATAGATAGTTATAAACACTCTATCTTTAATATTGAGCACTATTACCCCATAAAGAGATTTTAAATTTATTTGCCACTAAACATAAATGAAATCCAGACTTGAGATTTTTTTTCCCTGTCTCCAGATATTGGAATATTTGTTCATTTAATTCTTTCTCAGGTTTAAACATTTAATTTTGTATTGAAGTGGCTATGCAAGTAATCTTTATTATTATATAAGTCCTGTTGGCAGATTGAAGTAACTGGGTCAGTTATACATTTCATTTATTTTGTTTATCGCTTTTTTTTCTATTTGAATTTCTAGGATGAGGAGTTATTACTTTTATTTTAATCAATTAACGCCAATGGAACTGAAAACCCAATCCTAAACAGGGTACAAGAGATAAACCTCTAATATTGTCTTTGTTGTTGCTTTTTTTCTCCAACCAATGCCATAGAAAAAAATGATATAAATCCTTTCAATTATTAGCTTATTAGACATGTTAGTCTTTTAAGTTTATAGTTTATCATTTGTGCATTTATTAAATAATATCCTCTGATTTTTTTTATTTATCATTATAGATTTAAAAGAGATTAACAAAATGTATTTTTCTTATAACATCAGATTTTGGGAAGCGGGTCTTTAACTCCAAAACGTATTTCATTTTTTGCAATTAAGAAAGACTGTGAAAGACTAAAAAAATATATTTGTGGGAAAAATTTATTTTATAATCTTATAATCGTTTTTTAAGCATACATACATGTTCTTCATGTTCATACATATTATTAATAATATTATTATTAATGTGTACAAGTGAGACTATATATTATTGCCTTTCTCAATTCAGTGTACTACTGTTATAATAGTAAATCTGCTTGGTTAACAGGGGTAAGGAATTGCTTGTTAATTTTAACACCTCCAAAATAAAATTGCTCTCTATTAATTGTCTGAGGAAGATTTTTCTGCCTTTCATCAGCTTGGCTAACTCTAACCTCTAGGAGAATGACTCATTGCACTTTTTTGGACTAACATTTTCCACTGACATGAAGTGGAAAAATTATATTGAATCAGTTGCTAGATCTACTGTTAGGAAAGTTGGTTCACTGTATCATGTTAGACAATTTTTTCACCTAAATTTATCTTACATCTCATCATGGTTTTGAATATTGCTGCCACATATGGTCTGGTGCTCCTGTTATATATTTAGAAATCCTTGATAAACTTCAAAGAAGAATCAGCAACATCACTTTCCCACTGCCATAATGTAGCTTTCCTGTGTCTTTTCTATAAATACTTTCATGGTAATTGTTTGGGTGACTTCATTACTACAGTAGGCAGTATTGAATTCACAAATGAAGTTACTGGATCCAACCAACACTTTTATCCACTTGGCCATGTGTCTTTGAAGATGTCAGTGTATGTCTTTTTGGGACTTATAAACTTAATATCTCAGTAAACATCTATTATTTCAACCTCATCCCACAGGGGACAGTGATCTCCCCTTTTCTTCCATATGTGATCAGCTACGCCTGAGTTTTCTATTTCCCCCCGTGTTACGGATTTATGATGTTCTTGCAGCTTGTTTCTCCTTTGTATTTAAAAAATGGTTACTAAGACATTATGTTTACAAGTCCCCAAAATTCATACACTGATGTCCTCAAGGACACATGGCCCAGTGACTTGACCCAAAGTGTTGTGAGTTCAATACCTGGCTACAGCAGAGGTAAACAAAAACTTGGAGAGTCGAATCACTTTCCCACTGCCATAAGGTTGCTTTCCTGTGCCTTTTCTATAAATACTTTTCATGATAATTGTTCTGACGAGTTTCTTATATGGTACTTAGGCTTTATGAATTTAAATGCATCATTTTATAGTTGAAGTTCTTAGATGTAACTGCAAACTGCTAACATTCTTTGCTTGCTTGTGGAGCTCTCTTCCAGCTTCTTGCTTTCTAATTCAGCTTTATGAATGAAAAATAGATTCTTTGATGTTAAAGATGAATACCATACCCAAAGTAGAAATATACAAAGAAAAAATAAAAATAACTTTTCAAATAAATGAACAAAAATATACTAAATCTTAATGTAAAATTTCACAGATATGTCCCAAGTTTTTGAGCTTGTAGAAAAAGAATGTTAAAAGTTTAGCAAGATTTTTTTTTTTTTAATTTAGAAATATTGACAAATACATCATTATATTTTGCATTTATATATTTCAAATAAAATGTCTATGAAGATGATTTCACTGTTGAAGTATTTTCACATATTCACATTTCCTCTTAGACTTAATATTAAATTTGAACATTTTATGAAAGGTAAGTTGGTTTTTGTTTGTTTTTTTTTTTCTTCAGATATTGAAGTTTACAATGATTTAACTATGATAAAAATATAGAATTAAAAGAAAAAAAAACATAATTTAAAAATCTAATTTATAATACATAATATATCCACAAATATTAAAACATTTGGCAAACTTGAATCTTTGTGCCTGCAAAAAAAAGAAAAATGTGTCAGAAAGACAGTTTTTCCCTTGACTCTGCTCTTATTTTAACTACCTTCACTCCTCGGCAATGTTTATTGTTTTAAAAAGCAATGATTAAAATTGTAATTTATAAAGAAATAAATATGAAAATTTTATTACTAAATTTATAAAGAGTTTTCTAAATAAAATGGTATATCCATTTTATAACGTTTGAATCAATTGGCAATTAGCTGATGTTTTGCAAACCATTTTCTCAAGAATAAAGAAAATGTATAAATTCACTTTCATATGTTTAGGTTTTATCAGAATTCCAATCATTACTTTTTAAAACAATAATCATTGACGAGGAGTGAAGGTAGTTAAAATAACAGCGGTGTCAATGGAAAAATTGTCCTTTTGACACTACATTTTTCTGAGGGCATGAGGGTTCAAGTTTGCCAAACTGTTTTTTGGATGTAGAAATGTTTAAAAATATTAAAGTGCAAATCTGCATTGATTAGTTGAATCTTATATAACCATAGATTTCAATAAGTGAAAAATGGAAATTTATGTAGAGATCTGATAAAAAAAAAAAATGAGAGGTCTGTGATGTTTACGATCATGTAAAGAAGATTATGTCAGTGGTATGAGAAGAAACAACTTTTTTAAAAGTTGGCATTTCCAAGAATGCTGGAACCTGAGCTTGTTGGCATCAAATGTTTGGTAGGTGGTCAAATTTGCTCTTTGCTTTTATTTGATATGTTGACTTGGTTGGTCCTGGTGAAGTCGGTTGTATTGTCAAAATGGATGGTAGGTTGCCAAAGGGGAACTGAAAAGAAAATGCATTAGACTGAATTAGTCTAAAACTGGAATCCATTTTGGAGATTAATCACTTCATTTGGTTGGTTTTGTTTAGCAGCCTATCAACCTCTGGGTTATTTAGTGCTGAAATTTTGTATGCAATTTTTATTTTCATTTTTGAAGATAATGGTTTAGTGATACAAATCTTAATAATTAACCCATAGCTGGTGGTAGAAAAGGTAGATTCATATTTTTCCCAAGGTTATTTGCATGTAAATGAATATAATGAACCTGACTGAAATTGGAACTCAGCTCTCCAATTTCCAACTCCATGCCATTATCCATTACACCACCTGCACATCCAAGCTTACAGCACATAGTATTCCCAAGTGATCACCCATCTAGGTACTGACCAAGTTTGATGTTGCTTAACTTTGGTGATTGTACAGGAACTGGTGTTTCAACATGATTTGGCCATAAACCTGCCTTCATAAGGAATAACCACACAGTAACCTCAAAGCATAGTGTAAAATAATTTTGTAACTACAGTGTAACCCGGATATAAGAGAGTTGTCGGGACCGGAGAAGAAGTCTCTCTTATATCCGGGTTTGGTCTATTTTATATACATTAACACAGGCTCTAATTTGGGACCAGAGAAAATCTCTCTTATATCCGGGTTACACTGTATATGCTATTGATAGGTAGATATTAAAATGAAACTGTTTTCATAATTTTACTATGGTTTTAAAAATTATTATTTTAAAAAAGTGTGTGTTATATATATATATATATATATAGTCTGTTTCATGCTGAAACACGATCTTCAGGCCTTGTGTGTTGTGTTGTTTTAGATTGACTGGTCAATGGTGCATTATGGATAGAGGTTCTATTATATTATCCTAACAGTTACTGCATGGGCAGTAATGGTGATAGATTCTAGAAAAATTTGAAACAATTGCATAGAAATAATTGTGGATCTGAATGCAGTTATTTGTAGTTATTTTATAGTGTTTGTTAACTGTTTTTTACTCCCTATTTTTTATTAATTACTTTATTATTTGTTGTTGTTATTATTGTGTTTATGTGTGTATTTGTAATTTCTTAATTTGTTTATTGATTTATTTATGTTCGTTTTTAATTTTTAAGTAACATACCTTAAAATTTGTTTTTGTGTCTATACTTTGAGATGAGTTCTGATCATTTATTTAATAATTTATGTTGGTCTGTGACACCATTTAGGGATGCAAGGAAAAGGAAGAAAAGAAGGGAAAGAAAAAGAGAGGCAAGAGTAAAAAAAAAAAAAAAAACTTAGATGATAAAAGAAAGCCATCAAAAAGGGACATTTAGCGATGTTATTTTGATAATGAAAAATGGTGAAGGGTTTCATTGCCATTGTCGAGAATTCTAAATAGATAAAAATTAACTGTGTCGTGGTGGCGGACTTATATTATCGGGAATAGATAACGGCCACTTGGTGCTAGCGAAAATCTATGTGACGAATTCCAGATTGGCTAGCTGGCATCAGAGGCAGAATTCTAACTAGATAAACATTTAACTGTGTCACGGGAATGCCATTTGGGGCTTCCACAGAATTCTAAAGAGATAAAAATTTAATAGGTTGCCTGTTGACCACACACGAGTTGAAAAAAAACAAAGAAAATAGGTTAAGTCTTTGTCGATGGAAAGATATCGTTAGACAAGGTATCTGGGTTGTGTTGAAATCTGGCGGTGACAGCGAAACAATATTATCAGAACAATGGCGAAAGTCGTCCATCGTATCAGTGGTTGGTGCCAAGAAGTGAATGCGTCTGTTTGACCACCCACCTGATAATTGGCGAAAATCTGATTGACGAAGTCCAGATGAAAGTGACTTTGGGATAGGAATTTACATTATCACACTATGGGCCAGAGAAGAAGAGAGAAAAAAGAAAAAGAGGAGATTTTTTTTTTTTTTTTCTTTGAGCAAGATATTTTTTTTTTAAGAAACAAGGCTAGTCTGGTCACATCCACACTGTTGATCGGCCATTGGCTGAATGTTAACGAGAGCCAGGCAGAGGTGATCATGTGATGCAGAGGGGGAGGCCTGCTACCACTCATTAAGAGGATAGGATGAGATGTTACTGCAAGGGAGTAGGAAGATCGTTGACGCCCTCTGAGGGTATGGTAAGAAAAGACTTCCAAAAATGGAAATAATAAATTTTTCCTGACCGAAAACAAAAGAAGGGGATTGTGGATTTGGAATTATCAGGGAACCTCAAACCCCGACAAAGCCCACCCCGGTTTTGGTCGGCGTCCATATAAGCAAAGTCGCAGCAAGCGAAAATCAGTTCAGTTCCAGTTCGCAGTTGAAGTGGGTCCCGCCTCGCATTAGCTGACTAAGATTCGCGCAACTTCCGAACTCATCTTCAATCCAAGAACAATTTATTTTTGAAGAGCGACTTAGATTCATACCACCAAAACAAGTTTTACGACTATCGCCTGAAGACACACCAAGAAACAGTTTCTTAAAGAACAGACAATTTAAGATGTTAAGACTCGCCTAACAAAAACAACGCGTCACGAATGCATATAGCGGGTCGGGAGATAGACGCAGTCCTATGTATCCAGCAACCAGATATAAAGTATTGTTATCCTTTTTTTTGATACCTTTGAACTTTTCGAGTTATTATTTTATTTTCTTTTACACATACTTGTGCGATATCACTCTTATTCAAACTCAGCTTGCAGTACGGCCCAGCGACTGATTGATTTCGTCTGCCTAGATCAATTCACAACGTGGGTAGGTTAGACTAGAAATCAAAGCAGTTACTTCGATAACCAGACGTTGGAAGCAAGCTGGGAACGACGAGGCTGATACCAAATCTAACCAGATTCTCATCCGAATCACCAAAAGGTTAAAACGTCACATTTGGGTGCCGCGACCAATACCAAGCCAGTTGGTCATCACAGGACGGGATAGCATGACTGCCGCAGACAGGCGGACATCACGTTTGGAGCAGCGACGAACAAGCAGGGCTGGGGGACGTCACAGGTCTATGAAAGTAATAATAGTCATTTTCTCCTCCAGACAGTTTACAGTTTTTGGATTTAGTGTTGTAGGCTGATGCTATTTTCCATGATATTTTTAGTGTTATTTGGTTTTCATTTTTAATTTCTCATTATATTTAGAAAGCATTATGCTGTTTGAATATTTACTATTTGAAAAGTGCATAGTTTCACTGTTCCCTTCAGTTATTTTTATGTATATTTTTTCTTTGATGTCAATTCCAAGCAGATAACAATGTCTGCTTTTATATTTACATACACTATCACTGATAATGAGCAATTTAACCTATAAATATAGCATACCTTAAGACTATATTTTTATCACATTTTAAAATATTAAAACAAGGGTAGGAATAGCAAGGGAAAGAAAAAATATTACTCACCATAAAGTGGCAAATTGAAAACTAACACAAAAAAAGACCCTCACTGTTATCATCCTTTGCTCTTCAAAGCTCAATTGAAGACAAAATATAGTGATTTAATAAGTGTGGCATAGACGTGGCACAAGGCCTTAAGTATGGAGCACACAGAATCAAACTCAGTAGTAATTAATTTTGCGAGTCAGGCTTGATAACTATTATCCTACGTTGAAATGCCCAATAAAACAGAAATATTTACACTATTTACATTCCAGCCTTTTTCAGGTGATATATGTTGGAATTTTAAACTGAACCCTTTATTTCATTCGCCGGGGTAAATTGTTCTAGTTCCACATGCCATGTCTCTTCCAGATATCTCAGTTTCAGTTATTTACCAACTGATAAAGGCAATGTGACTGTAGTGATGGACAAAATGGAATATACAAAAAAAAAAAAAAAAACTCATTAGAAATGGTAGCTATAGTAAAGAAACACCCAACAATGACAGCAGAAAGAAAATTGTAACAGATCCTAATCAAGAACAAGGACCACTTCCCACCTAAGGCATACAACATTATAGCAAACTACCTCACATATACAAAATTCACAAGAACAGTATTCCTCTCCAGCCAATTGCTAACTGCCATGCTCTGTATACCACTTTCTTGGACGTGGTAAGTTTGTTCACCAAAGTACCCACAAAGGAGGCACTATCAGGGACAGACTGGCCTCAGACTCATCCCTAGGAGAACGGACCAGTATACCAATAGATTATCTGATGGAGATGCTGACTTTCTGTACACAAACTTCAGAATGGGATCAGACAGTCTTCTTGATTACTCTTTTCTCTTTCTACTCATTACTAATGTTTCTGTTCCTAATTCCTCCACACCCTGTAACCCCTTGCATCTTAGTGGCTGTACTGCCTTGCTTGGGGTGATACTGATTAAAAAGAAAAAAGAACTCAATCTACCCTGGTGAATTAAATAAAGGGTTCAGTTTGAAAATCTAATGTATATCACCTGAAGAAGGCCGAAGCATGCAATGGTCAAAATGTTGCAAATATCACAATAAAGATGAGGACAACATTTAAAACAATGTAAATAATGTAAATACCTACAGATAGAACAAATATATGTGCCCAATGATTAAACAAAACCTTGTTAAAAGAAAGAAAATTTGGTTTTCTGTCTAAACAATTTTCAAAAAGTAATGTATTGAAATATGTATTTTGACTTGCTTTGGCTGAATATGACCATTTATTCCAGAAATGATTCATTTTTGATAAAAATTTAAAGTGAGTGTGGAATGTTTCTATAGTGCGGGTTCAATTTACAATAAGTATGTAATGCAAAACTGGATACTGACTTTGACGATTGAATACTAACTGGATTGATTTTTTTTGTGTCAGTTTTTATACAAATGTTTATGTACTTGTATTTTTTTTCTCTCCCTGAAGATAGTAACTTGTGGGTAGAGTTAATAAAGTGTTGCAAAAACTCCAACCATTAAGTTGTTAGTGCTCAACTGTTATGTAATATCAATCCTTCTACATTGCAGTGAATGTTAGACAATTTCCTCACAGATATGAGGCAATAGAGATGTGGTTCTACAGAAGGGTGCTGAGGATACCATGGACAGAACATGGGAGCAATAAGGAAGTTTTAAGAAAAATGAAAATAAAAAGGATACTTGTATTTAGAATTGGAAAGGTTTGAAATTTCTGCTACATAATGAAGAAAGAGGACTTGGAGAATTCTACACAAAATTTAAAGAGAATGAGAATAAAAAGGACACTTTTGCAGTCAGAAAGAGACAGTTGAAAATTCTAGGACACATGAAGATAGGTGTTGCATAGAAACAAACAAGTGGTAATGACTAGTTTAACATTATGCTTGCTTTGTCAATCAAAACCTATCCTTAAAAACTTTCCAGAAGAAATGCAGGTTATATTCAAAGCACAAGAATAATATATTTTCTTACAAAAATACAGTACTGTTAGGTACCTATTCTATTGTAATGGACTCTCCCATAGATAATAAGTAGGAGTAGCAGTGGCAAGTCTGGCAGAATGGCGTCTCCTGTCGAACTCTCTGCGTTAGCAGAGAGGAACCCGGACGAGGCTTTGCCGAAGGGCAAGGTTTCGTCCGGGGAGGTAGACAGGGCCTGAACCCGTTTAATCGGCTTCAAAGGCTATTTTTTGGGCCGAGCCTACGGGCTTGGAGAAACCCACAATAAAACCGGCCTTGTGCCATATTCGTTTCTCGTGGGTGAAATGATAAATACCGAATGGTGTTGAGCGCGTCAGTCGAGATTCGGACATTTGAAGTACCAACCATCACAACTAGATTGCTGCGCCATTGACTCTTATTTTCCAAGTTCCTAACGTTTTGTACGTCGGACCTAATTTAGGACGACTTATTAGAAATACAAGCCTCCACTATGAAAATACTCAACAACAAGTACTTGATTGAACCAAATCTTAACCACCATAAGAATTGGCTCATAAATTTAATGTTTTTTTTCTACTTACTGGTGCTAATTTATTTCGAGCTCCATTCTTCTGTAAGCGTTTCTCACCAATCTCTTTTCGTTTTTGTTCTGCATCTGCTCCCCGTTCAAAGATATCGCGGCTGTAGTCCATGTAAGGATGCTCCAAAAGTTCAGCACATGTCAAGCGTTGAACTGGATCCATTGCAAGACAACCCTGAAATAAAAATGTTTTACACTAGAATTCCTATAACATGTCTAATGTAACCAATACTTCCAGCTTTGTGTATATTAAGAAGCTTTTTTTTTTAAGTTTAAGTTGATTTAAGTAATTATTAAAAACTAAGGCTTAAAAAAGAAAACATATTTTTATTTTTCTGTTCATTTTTCCTGAAAAATTCTTTCAATTCAAATAAATATTACCAAATACAAATTTAATAGTATCTTTTGTTTCCAAAGTTATATTAAAAAGATTAATGTGAAAAAATTTATGCCTTAATGTTTAAATTAAGGCATACATTTTTTCACATTAATTAAGGAAAAATGAACAGAAAAATAAAAATAGGTTTTCTTTTTTAAGCCTTAGTTTTTAATGAACCTTACTGGCAAATAATTACTTAAATCAACTTAACAATGTACTTCAGTGTTAAATTCTAATGTTTCAAAAAAGCTATGTATAAGGAAATTTCTGCAATTATTTAACTAGATTTTGTGAAAAATTTTTTATTGTTATTTTTTGTATAACAACAATTTGAGGAGAATCAAATTTCGGCAAAGCATTTTGAACTGAACTAATTTTATTTTACACTTTGTACACAGTGCATTCTAGAAGTTTTCAGGAAAGACATCTATTAATTTCAAAGTACAAAACTCTGCTTTCATTCAAAATGGGATTGTCTGACTTCAATGCACTTGTAAACACCCCAGCAACTTTGGATGACTTCCATGGATTCTTCACAAAGGGAAGGTGTCTAGGACCCTTGTCAAAGCCTCCTTCATCTACTCAATGTCTTCAAAATTACTGCTGCTGAGGTTCTACTTTAGCTTGGGAAACAACCAGAAATCACAGGGATCAAGGTCTGGACTGTGAGACATCTTTCTGCTGTCACCAGTGTGTCTTTCCTTTTGTTTGTTGCTGCGAACAAACTTTGCATAAAATTCTGTGCATGTTCAGATCTTCATGAATAATTCTGTGTAGAGTTGCCACATTAAACTGTAAGATTCTTATTTTTTTTTTAGACACACGACAATCTTCATTCAGAATATTGCGAATTTTCTCAACCAATTCTGATGTTCTAATTTCTCTCATTCCCAAATCTTTTCATCTCCTTTCTACCATTCTTGAACTTCTTATGCCAGTGAAAAACAGATGCTCAGCTCGAGCATTTCATAAGTTTTGGTAGTGTTTTTGCCCAGTTTAACACGAAAACTCTATTGCATAGTGAGCTTCCAAATTTTCTTCACGTCCAAACTGCAAACAAGTCATCTGTGACAAGCAGTATTTAGTAGGGTGTGTACAAAGTTAGTAAGTCAGCTTATTAGATGTATAGTAACGAAGTACTAAAATTACAATAATCTAAGACTTTGGTAACCTGGAGAATTTAAGACTAACAGGACATACTAAAGGCAAGAGTAAAACAGAAAATAATATGCTTAACAAACTTCTTTAAATGGATGGCAGAATATGAACAAGGATAGTATGGAATCAAATGTAGCTTTGTGCTTAAAAGGGGTGGGAAGTCAAGCAGAACCATGATTACTAATATCCTGAAGGGACCTAGCACATAGAAGAATTTTCATGGTAGATAACATTGAAAAAATATATTTAGGAAGTCACATTATTATCTTTTTTTCTTTATTGTTAATATTAAATATCTTGGCTTTTTATTTTTTTTTTCACAAAGTTTTCAAAGTGAAAAACAGAAGTCATGTCTAGCTGATGACAAGCATTCTATTGTCACTTACATCACATCATAAGCATATTTTCCTATACTGTTCAATTAGAGAAACCTTTCCGCCTTTCATCAGCATGGCTAATGGTAAGCTCCAAGAGAATGACTTGTTGCGCTTTGGGCTAATATTTTCCACTGATATGAAGTGAAATGATTATATCAAATCAATTGCTATGTCTGCTGCTAGAAAAGTTGATTGTCTGTCATGCTAGATAATTTTTGTCACCCAAATCTATCTTAAATTTCTAGAAGTCTACCATTCATCCATGCTTAGAATATTGTTGTCGTATATGGTCTGGTGCTCCTGCTATATATTTAAGAGACTCTTGATAAAAGCCAAAGAAGAATCTGCAATGTCATTGGTCCAGACTTAGTATCTCGCTTTTAGTCACTTTCCCACTATCGTAGTTTAGCTTCACTGTGCTTTTTCTATAAATATTTTCATAGTAATTATTCTGATGAACTTAAGCGCAGTACTAGATCGGCAGCAAGATCTCATCATTTTATAGTTGAAATTGCTAGAATTGTAATTTCTATGCTGTTTCTTTTCTCACACTTCTCATTTGTGGAACTCTCTTCCGGTTTCTTGTTTTCCAGTAAAGTTTGACCTTCAAAAATTTAAATCCAATGTCAATCATTATCTTCTGTTTTCTTAATTTCTGTTCTTTTATTGTTCTCACTCTTTAATGTTTTTCTTATATTCTTTCACACTCAGTAACCCAGTGTGTTAGTGGCTTTCTTGCTTTGCTTGGAGTTAAATGATTAATAATAAAAAATAAATAAAAAACAAGAGACTAAGGCAGAAAAGTACCTACCTTTAAAAAACTAAGTGCTTGTGAACTGATAATAGGAATTTTTTCTTCTAAAGTTTCCTGAAATATACAAGACAGATTTTATAGTTATAGACAAAAGTTTCCTTCAGGCTTCAATTAAAAGGCAAAAATGTCTGTATAATATTTAAAAAATAAAATAAAAATAAATAAATAAAATTCTTTTCAGTAATTGGTAACTATAATAACAATTTATTATATTATTTTTCATTCATTTCTTTCAAAGGTACTTTAAGCGTTCACTATATTTAATGGTACATGAAAATTAATATTTCATAAATTTGCAATAAATGCATGGAAAGAAACTTATTTTGAACTCTGGTCAAATACCAAACACAAATTCAGTTCCAGTAACATTCAATTTACCAGCTACAATTTTTAAATATTCCCTGTCAAAATAGATTAGGTGAGGTTCTTTATAGACCACCAAATATGAGAAATAATTTTGGCACTACTTAAATCGATTGGTCCAGTTATAAAAAAAATTTTAAAAAATAGGGGAATTTTTTTTCAGGAAATAATTTTTGTAGATTAGGTCAGAATAAAAAAAAAATATATTGTTTTTTATTAATTTATAAGGGAAGGGGGTCCTATTTGTAACATCAATCCAGTGTAAAATTGATCCCTGAGTTTTGCAGAGTTTTTGGATTTATATGTTATTTACAAATGTCATGCTTGAAACTGCTTACATTATTTAATATACGCATTTATTTTTTGCTGAATTTTGGTAGAGGGATTTTTCTTAAAATTCATTAACAAACATTGGGAGATAATAATTATTTATCTTAAATAAAGAATAAATAGATATAAACTTTTATTAATTTATGTCAATTTTTAATCTTTAATTAAAAATGTATATATCCATTGGTTCTGTATTTGAAACTAGTTTGCTAAAAAGGAGGCTACATGAAAAAGATGTGCCAAACATAATAAAAACAAAATTTTATCAAAATCTGTGTTATTATTAAGATGAAAGATCAAAGGATTTTTTTATGTAATTTTTTTTTTAAATCCTTTTAGAACCTTGGAAATTTTGGTTAAAATCTTGTTTTTCTGGTGTCAATGGGAACATAAATTTGTATGGAAAATTTGAACTTCTTTTTGTGATGAAGAATACATTGATTTGGAAATTCTTGCAAAAAATAAATAGAATAATAATTGTGGGATTTTAATGAAACCTTCAGAAATAAGTGAAAATATTTTTAAAGAAATTTTTATGTTTTTCTTTTTTCTTTTTTTTTTACATCTGTTACCCTTTTATGAAATTTTGAGAAATTCTTTTTTTTATATTGCTTGATGTTTACTATTAGTTATAAGATGTGCTCGAAGAATTTAAATCATCAAATTCATTTTTAATCAAACAGGACACTCTGCTTACAGAAAACCTGCTCTGAATTATAAAATAAATCGAAATCCATTTTTTTTGCTTATCAGTAAAATCTATAAATTCATGCAAATCTGTCAATGTAACATAATTCTCTTTATTAAAAAATCATTAAAAAAATAAAATATACTTTTCTGAAATGTTATTTGCAAAAAAAAAATAGCTGATTTAAAGTTGAATTAATCTGAATTAAAATTACATGATGAATACAATGTAAATGCCATTTTTATATAATTTTTTAACTACCCAATAATCTTAAAAATTTAACATATTCTAAGCATTCTAATACTTTATTGAATTTTAGGTACTTTGGCTTTATAGTCAAACTTACAAAGACATTTGTTGAGGAAATGTTTGTAAATTACGAATAAATTTTAAATTTACTATAGTTACAATTCTCATTTTCTGATAATGTTGTGTATGGATATCCATATTTACAAAAATTGAACAGTTATACTTACATATAAAATAAATTCAAAATTCTTTTTAAAATACTGGGTTATATTGAATTGTAATGAGTTTTTCCATTTATGATTAGTAAATACATTTTTAATTTAATATCATTTGGCCACTGGAAATTAATGCAGGATTTTAAAAGTTTTGTAAATGATTCTAATTAAAATTTGAAAAAAAAAATAAATGAAAACAATACTTGAAAAAATTCAATATTCATGAAAAGAAATTTTTTTTTCTTACAAAAATAGGATCCATAATATATTTTATTCTTTTCTAATTAAATAATGTCTTAGATTTATTGCATTTTATTCTATGATTCAGAGCAGATTTTCTGTAACTAGGGATCCTGTCTGGCAAAAAAATTCAATGATTTAAATTCTCCAAAGACTTGTCCTTATAACTAATTAAGTAAATAAGTAAGACTGAAAAGCAAAAGTACCTAAGATTCAATAAAATATTTGATTGCTTAAAATGTTTTGTTTTTTTTTTAAGTTCTAAGATTACTGGGTATATATATATATATATATAAAAAGGCATTCAATCTTTTCCTCAAATAATTTTCAGTTATGTCCTCCTTAAATTTCTCAAACAGGCTGTCAAGAAATCACTCAACAGGTAAGAAAAACACCCCCTCTGCATAAAAAAAATGCTTTTCTGTGATATTTTAAACTAAAAGTAATATTTCTTTACTTTCAGATTAATTAAACTTTAAATCAGCTTATTTTCCTCAAATATAGTTTCAGAAAAACATATTTTATTTTTGAAAGTTTGTTTTTAATAAAGAGAATTATGTTGTGTTGACAGATTTGTCAATATAGACGTGTAGATAAAGTAGAAAAAAAAATTCCAATCCATTTAAATTCAGTTTTAAATAGAGAATAGTATTTTACTTATTGGAAATATTAAATTTAATCTATTAGCTTGAAATTAAAACTAAAATTAAAGCTTCAAGAAACATTTTTCATTTTTTAAAATGCATTTTAAACTTAAGTACCCTCCAACCAAAAAAAAAAAAAAAAAAAAAACCTATTTAAAATAAATTTTCTTGTAAAAAAAAAAAAAAATATAAAAAAAATGCCAAAAAACAAAATGCAAAACAGCTAAGTCTAGTAACTTTGTAAAAAGTCAGGGATCAATTTTACCCTGTCTCGACATTATGAACATGAGCTCACATCTAAAATGATGCAAAAAAAAAAACAAAAAAAAAAAATCAACATTTTTCAATTCTGACAGATGTCAATCTACAAAAATTATTTCCCCCCAAAAAATGTTTTCCTATTTTTTAGTGAGTGAACCAGTCTACTTAGGTAGTGTCCTAATTTTTATCACAATCTGTTTATCTATTTATTAGTGGAAAAGATCTTGTGTGACACATTTTGTCCCTTAGTAGCATTTCATCGGACTATATTTATGTTTACGTTGATGTAACTACACATGTGAATGAAGGAAAAAGGGATGCAGAGAATTAAGTGTTTAATATGTGTTTTAGGTATATAATCTAGCTGATTTCATTTAGATTCTTTTTCTTTCCATCACTTCTATTATCACAATGTGGAATATTTAATAAAAGATCTGCTATAGAAGGTGAAATGTAAGAACCTGGACATAAATTTATTGTAGATGATCTAGCAATTAAAGCACTTTCTAAACATTTTTTCTTAGTAAATTTTTTTTTTTTTAATTAAAGTTGTATTTTTTTAAATCAAAACTGTAGTCAGTTTTAATTCAGTGGATAACTAATGCATTTAATATGTTGTCTTCTAAAGCATCCTATTTGTGTTCATATAATCATTTATTTAAATTCTTTGAGGTTTCTCCTATGTATGCCTTGTGGCAATCATTACAGGTAATAGAGCAAATTCCTCCTTCAAGTTTTAGCTTATTTTGTTTTGTATTTATAATGGCAGAAATTTGTAAGAAATCAGAATTAGTATTTATCACCTCTTGTTCTGCTTCTGGAATGCATGATCCTCTGAAGAAACTGTTGTTACTGAAAATTTCTTTGTGGCGAGGTATTAAGTCACCTAAAAATAAAACAAAAATAAACATCAAATTTTGGAAGAATTTAAATACTTCTTCTATATCATAATAGTTGTTAAATTTCAAGAGTGAAATCTGTCCCCAAAATAGTTGTTTTTTATAAAAGATAAACTCAATGAAAATCAAATAGTTTATTAATTCAGTGCTTTGAACCATTAATTTTGAGAAACATTTAAACAATTTATCAATTCTTTTGGCATGATGTACTCTAAATTCATTTGAATCAGTAGTTATTGTTCCTTGAATCAATCTTCTATTTTCAGAATATTATAACACAAACTGTGACCCAGGATTTCTAGTGTCTTTTGTCATTAGAGATTAGATACCTTACATGTTCTTAAATTTCTACACAGGGTTGATATTATCTGATAAAATTATAGAAACAAGAGCAAGTTTGAAACTTCTGATTTTTGCTTAGCTTCAAGCAGTTCACTTTAAGACACCTCTTTTTCTTAAAAAAAAAAAAAAAAAAAAAAACTACTATTAAAAAGTTTAATCATAAAACAAAGTGGCCTTGAAGATAGATAAATACAACCTTTAATAAATGTTTGAAAATTTCAATTTTTGCTTACCATAAAATGTAGCATACAAGTCGACCTCAAGATTTTTAGCTCAAAATTTTGAGGTAGGCCTATACTTACTGTTATGATAGGCTACCAGTGACCCAAACAGAGTTTTTAGGCTTGAAAATTTAACTTATACACCACAATTTACAGTAGCTTCAAATAGTTCACCTTAAGACATCTCATGTTATTTAAAAAACTACTATTAAAAAGTTAAATCATAAAATAATCAAAAGAAAATAAATATGTCAATGTATCAACTATTATGAGAGATATTTTATGCCTGTCACATAAATTAAAACAATTACTGAAAATAATTTAATACTAGTTGTAACTTGTAAAAATTTCAGTTTTCCTAGTTGAATTTTCTGATGAATTTTAATTCTTAAGTTAATGATTGAGTTCTGCAACAATAAAAAAATCCATAGAATCCCTATTGCATTGTTAAATATTTGAACTTTAACAAAATATTACAATAACAATGATAAGTATGAATGCTGGTTGTTATTTTAAGAAGTAAGGGGGTACAAATGAAAAGATTTGAAATTGACAACTTTTTTCATTTCACTGAAACAGCAAATAAACACTTCTATCTTCTCTTCAGTCCATTTTTTTCAATGAAACCAAGTAATGTCTTTCCCCCTCTTTCCAAACAATCAAAACAGAATAGTTAATTATTTATGAGGTATTAGCAAGACATAATGATCGTGCAAACTAATAAAGAGTGGGGCAAGGACAATTATAATAGGATTGTTAAATTGCTGTCAGTTTAGTAATAAAGGACTGTTTTAACCAAAGCTTCTATCAACCATTTTATTTTTATACAAAATCATATTTACATTTCTTTCCACAAAACAGGAGAATATTGAAAAAATATTATTCTTCACTTACTTTCTGAACTTTACAGTAAAAAAAAAAAAAAAAACATTTTAAATCATCATCAGTCCCATGACCAAGTGTGGTCATAGGGTCGCTGAGCACCTGATCTTTGGTCAAGAAGACCTGATGGAGCCAATCCCTCTCCAGATCAAACCACAAGACATGTCCTTCTAATTAATGCTTGCAGGTCTCATGATTATCATTATTAGTAGTAGTAGTAATAATAATTGCTATTATTATCCTATCATAATTGTGTTTGTCTCTGTCTTCATTAGTTCACACGACTATTATGCCCTGCCTCATAAATAATGAACTACTCTGTTTTCATCATGTGGGGAAAAGACATTACTTGATTTCAGTGAGAAAATGAAAGAAAGGGAAGATAAAATAAAAAAAAAAAACTTTTAATTAATGTTCACCCAGTCCAAAGCACAAGAGTCACTCAAGGTAAAGGGTTACTGTGTGTGATGTTGTATGAGCATAGGAAAGGGCAAGGCAGGAAAGATAACAGCTAATTCTAGACTTGGAGATGTCAAGATGTGATGTTAGCAGTATACAGTTGAAGTAGAATTTAGAAGTAACTGGAAACTGAATGCTAAACAGAAAATAAGGGTTAAACCTCTACTCCTGTTCAAAAGATGAGGGAGGAGAATGAATTGGACCATAAGTGAACCTATCTACTCCTATTAAGGGGGGAGGAAAAAATAAATAAATAGTGAAAATTTTCAGTGTTCAGGCAGGGACATCAGAAGTATAGAGTTGAAGCAGATTTTAGAAGGAACCGGAAACAGGGAACAAGGGATAAATTTCTACTCCTGTTCAAAAGACCAGAGAGAAATGTGAACCAGGCAAGCCTATCTATTCCTATTGGGAGAGGAAAAAAATAATGTGTTTAACAATTCGTGCTCATACCTCATAAATAATGGACTATTCCATTTTGATCTCATGGAAAGAGGGGAAAAGACACTACTTAGTTTCAGTGAGAAAAAGAAAGAAAAAAAGAAGAAAAGTTAGAAGTGTTTAATGGCTGTTTCAGTGAAATGGAAAAAGGTTTAAAATCTTTTCATTTGTACCCACTTCTTAAAATAACAACCAGCATTCATATTTATGATTGTTATTGCAATATTTTGTTAAAGTTGTGAAGCTCAAATATTCAACAATGCGATAAGGGAATTTCTACAGATATTTTATTGTTGTAGAACATGGCATGAGCTTACTCAATCATTAACTTAAGAATTAAGATTCATGAGCATATTAAATTGGAAAAACCGTGAAATTTTCTCAGGTTAAAACTAGTTATTATTGTTATAAGTTACTGTTATTGGTAGTATTAGTAATAATAATAATAAAAGAAAAATGTAAGGAATTCCCCTGATTTCATTTGCATGCATCTTGTACTCCATGTTAGGCTGATTAGGGGTACCATATGAAAAACTGCAGCAGGGCATGTCTAGAGTAAGATAGCCTGGTGTAGCCCGTCTCTTTTCAGATTGGTTTTGAATATAGAGTTGTTGTTCTCGGCTGCTTACCTTACCATCGATAAAGGTCCTAATCCACCCTACTATTAAATCTATAACTGCTGGAGAAGAGAAGGATTCATGCCTTACCAAATGGCCAAACTGCTTTGGCCTGAATTTGGTTAGCAGATTCCATTTTCTACACTGAAAACAATTATACCAACCATGCTTCATTTAGGTTAAATGAGGAGAGCATAATTTAATAAAAAAAGGGATTTAACAACTCAACAACAGACCAGAATTTCTGTTTGATGTAAAAGTTTGGAACGTTTCTGTTATAACCTAGGAAAGGTTACTGAATAGAATAATCAAATGAACGTGGGTAAGGAACAATAATACTTAGGACAAGAACAACACATATAAGATTCACCAGGTGTGTAGTAGTAGTAGTCAACTGCTAGAACTGAGTCAAGTGAATTCCACAATGACTAACTGCAGAATATCTACTAACCATTCTACGAGGTCAGATGTGGCACAAGGCTGAATTTAATGTAGGGTATCCGAGCCTGTAGGATCAGCCAAAAATTCCCCATAGAAAAACTGGGTCGGGTAGCTGTTTCAGGAGACAAGGCTCTGCCCTTCGGCATAGCCTCATCTGGGGATCCTCTCTGCCCAGAAGCAGAGAGTTTGACCAGCACAGCTGGAGAAGAATCTCCAACTGCAGACCAACATACAGTATTTACTACTGTATTTATGTGAATGGGGACATACCAATTATCATCTGTAGGTATGCTACAACAGTTTCATAAACAGTAAATCACTTTCTTTTGTTAATAATAGCAATATGAATATCAATTCAATAAGATGATTATTTTTATTTAATACTTAAAAAGATAAAAATTTAATAATTACCTAATGTTTTCTTGATGAGATACAATTGATCAACATCTGAAAGTCCAGGCCAAAGTGCCTGGCCAGTTAAAAGTTCTGCAAAGACACATCCAATAGCCCAGACATCAACAGGAGGGCCATACTGTGTATCACCGACCAATAATTCGGGACCTCGATACCAACGTGTAGCAACGTAATCAGTATATTCATCACCTGGACCAGCTTAAAAATAGTACAACAATTGAAATAAAGATTTCTATAGTCATCAAATATTTGTAGATTTGAGCCAAAATTTGAAAGAACTTGGATCAATGAATCCTTAGCTATTTACATGCCAATGGTTAATTAATGTGCAGTTAAAAGAGGCATTGAAAAGTGAATAAAGTTAATATAAAATATCTTTCTTAATAAAAATGGTTAAACACAAATCCAGTTACCAAAAATATTGCAGACATTATGTCTTTATCTATAAATAAATGATGTCTATAAAAATATTCTAGATATTAATGTCTTTATCTATAAATAAATGATGTGTATAAAAATATTCTAGATATTAATGTCTTTATAAATAAATAAATGATGTCTTCATAAAAATATTATAGACATTAATTTGTATATCTTGATAAATTCTAACCCAATTAAAAATGGAAAAAAATTCATTGAAAAGATTAAAAAGATCTGTATAATTTTTTACAAAATTTACATGATACTTACTTAAAACACGTGCAAATCCAAAATCACAAAGTTTTACATGTCCATGTTTATTGATAAGAATATTTTCTGGTTTTACATCCCGATGAATGCACTAGAAAAAAAAAAAAAAAAGGTTAGAAAATTATTGACAATCAAATGAAACAAAATATATAAAAAAATTTTCTTTACCAATAAAACGAGATGTGCAGCGAGTGAAAATGGTTTACAAAAGACTTTTAAAAAATAAATAAATAAATTAAAAAATTAATTTTACTCTCTCTCTTCTTTTTGAAACCTAATTCAAAAATCTTTCTTAATGAAAAAATCTAAAATAAAATTGGAAGCTGCTATAGAATTTGACAACTCATTGATTAACACTGGCCATGTCAGTACTAGACTGGCAGCTAGGTCTCATCATTTTACAGTTGAATTGGCTAGATAAGTTCTATGCTAACAGTTTCTTTTCTTGCACTTCTCACTTGTGGAACTCTCTTCCATGCTTCATGCTTTCTAGAACCAAATTCCAACTTTTTGAAGTGTTGGCTTTGTGATTTGTTTATAGTTCTTGCAAATGCAGGGCAAACTAGAAATTGGATTCTTGTACATAAAAAACTTAAAATATATGCAAAAAACAATATTGCATTTTTATTAAATAAGTATTTGTTATTTTAATAATTTTATTGTTTTTAAAATAGTTGTATGTTAAATAATAAAACTTAATTTTTTCAAAAAAATTAATGAAAATTTATTGTACTAAGATATGCACCCTAGTAAAACCAACTGTACTTTGTATCACTTACCTTTTTGCATGTCTCCCCAAAATTTGGTTTTGATCAATCAATGTATGGCTATTTTAAAGGGCAGGCTAGTAAAAGTTACAGAATTTTATATATAGATTATTGTTATATTTCTTTTTCATATTCCAAAAATTTTTTTATTTCACACTGAGATTGTGTTTAAGCTTCAAATGAGCATTTATTTTTTTTTCACATTTACAGTGACCTAACCTAATCATGACCATTTTTTTTTTTTTAATGGAGGATATAGTATTATGGTAAAGGAAAACTAAAGCTAATGGTTGAAAATGAATGTTATTTTTGGATTCAACACTTCCATTTTTATTCAGATTTAACAAAAACATCCCCATTTCCAAAATAATTTTGTATACCTGTGTAATCAAGGGAGCTAATAGTGGTTTTTCAAGTTTTAAAGATTTTTTTTTTTTTAATTGTTTCACCCCAAGCAAGGTGGGAAGCCACTAGCACGCAAGGGGTTACAGAAAGTTAGAGCGAGAGCAAAGAGGAGTGATAGAGGAAAGGATGAAGAGAAGGATAGGGAAGAGATCAAGGCATCTGGAGACGTCAATTGACATTACATTTGAATAGTTGAAAATTATAGCTATCAGGATAACAAGAAGAGGGGAGGGAGATCCACAGGCAAGATATGAAGCTATTGGAGTAGAAGAGATGGCTACATTTAACAGTTTCGACAGTGAAAGTGAGATGCCAGCCTAATTGAACACTTGAATTCATGAAGTCTGGGAACCAGCGAAAGCAGCTCATCGGAGCAGTTACCGTGAAAGTATTTGTAAAAAAGACAGAGAGAGGCAACAGCACGTCTGTGAGAGAGCAACTGCAAACGAGATGCCAGTTCAGGGCCAATTACATTGCATATCTGTCTCTGGATTTCATCAAGTACCTTGAGACAAACAGAAGGGACTCCAGACCATATATGGCAGCAATGCTCCATGCAAGGGCGAATGGTTGATGGAACTATCTTCTATGAGCTTCTAAAATTTATTACAGTTTTCATTGAAAGAGAATTTAAAAGAGCCAAGAATTAATTTATAGATACAAATCTAATAATTTTGGTCTAATGCATATATTAATCTCAAACATTTCTTAACTGTGAAAATTGTCTCCACCATTTGGCTTACTTATATTTTTGTAAAGTATTTCTTAATTCTTATTAGATCAAATGAACAAGCTGACTACTTCAGACCGCTTTTGTTAGAATGGCACAGAACCAAATATAGAAAAGAAGACTGTGCTGCACCAATATTCCAAGTGAGAACCTTCCTGCTTTTCATGGTCTTACAGCCATATCATGTTGAAACACCAGTTCCCGTACAATCACTGAAGTTAAGCAATGTTGAGCCTGGTCAGTATCAAGATGGATAACTGCTTGGGAATATCAGGTGCTGTAAGCTTGGATGTGCAGGCAGTGTAATGGCTAATTGCTTTGACTTGTTAATTGGAGAGCTGAGTTCCAATTACAGTTGAGTTCATTATATTCACTTACATGCAAATATCCTTGGGAAAGGTATGATCTACTTCTTCTCCCTCCCCCAGCAATGGGTTAATTACTAAGAATTGTATCACTAAAACAATTATTATCTCTCAAAATTGTATACATATATTTAGATTTCAGCATTAAATAACACATAGATGTTGATATGCTGCTAAACAGGAATAACCAAGAAATATAACCGCCAAGTTTGAAACCATGATTGTTTCATTGGTATCTGCTTTTCCTTTTTCTTAATTTTTAAACTTTTTAGGAGAGAAGAGGAGGATCTTTTCAGAAGCAAATGCACAAATATTAGAAGAGAATAATTATTTATCTTAAATGAAGAATAAATGGATATATACTTTATGTACATTTTTGTTCTTTAATTAGTTAGTTAGTTCTTTATTTAAAACAAATCTTTTAAAAAGAAAAGTCTGTTTCAGCCACAGAACTGCTAAGTCCAGATAACTCTGTAAAATGTCTGGGATTTTATTTTACCCTATTGATAATATGAAAAGACACCTCCACATTTATAAATTAATTTAAAAAAAAGAAATCATTATTTTTCAATTCTGACAAATGAGAAAAGTTTAATAAATGCTATTCAATAAAAATATTTCCCTATTTTTTTTTTTTTTTTTTATATGTGGACAACTCTACTTAAGTAGTGCCAGATTTTCCAACAATATCTACTCACCTTATGTTGATGGCAAAAGTCAACAGCTTTCAATGTTTGATAAATAATTTTTTTCACTTGATTTTCTGTTACTCTGGAAAGAAAGAAAAATCTTATTTATAAAGAAAAAAAATTATGAAAAAGATAAAGTTATTTATGGTTATAAAATATATTTAAATGTTTTTATATTTAGAAAATATTATGTATCTATTTTAGATTTTGAAAATATTATTATGTACCTTTTTTTAGTTTCTGTCTATATTTCTGAGATGAGGCATTATGTACACTATTTACATTATTCAGACTATTATCCTCATCTTTGTTGCTATATTTATCATGACATTTCAGCTGTTGTACGCTCTGGCCTTCTTCAGGTGATTGAAATGTCAAACTGAACCCTTTATTTCACTCGCTGGGGCAGACTGTTCTTGTTCCACGTGCCATGTCTAATGGATGTCAGTTATTAGTTATCTCTTGTTAATTCACCTCTCCAAGTTCTCCACTGCCAGGTATTGAACTCACAACTCTTTGGGCCCTGTCACTGGATCTAACCAACGCCTTTATCCACTGTGCCATGTGTCTTTAATGACATCTGTGTATGAATTTCTGGGACTTATAAACTTAACTCTTTTTAGTTTTTGAAAATATTACATATCTTTAAATATATTTAGACACATGGCCAAATGCTTAGAGTATTAATATTCTGACTACATAACCAAAGATCAAATCTCACCAGTGTTATTTTGTCAGAGAGGTGACTCCGTCCATAATATAGTCCTGGGGGATGATCCTAGTATGCAAAACTCTTGTGACATGCCTGAAAATCATACCATGGGTTGACCCAAGTGAAATGAGTAGAAGAAACTGTTCTGAAGCCATCATTGGTTGTGCTAGCATAAAGGTAAAAGTCATCATGACTGAGGGCTTCAGTGTACCAACCTAAAGTGTTGATTATACCAGGTTATGCACTCTACTTCAGAGGTCCACTCGCTTTAGTTGCAGTATAAACTACAGGGGAGGGCTCCATTGGTGCTGAAGAAACAGTAGGTATACATACTTAGTAATGGTAATATTTGTCGTTTTCCCCAAGGAAGCATTTAGTATTCATTAACCAAGAAGCCAGTACTGCTTTCAGTAGAAATTTATAAAATCTTTCTCATAAAACACTTTTTTAAAAAAACAGATTTCTCAAGTTCAGTAACTGTTATTGCTCTTTCCAGTATTAATGGGAGTTTCCTTCCAAACCTTTTATTTGAAATAGTGTGGAACGTCGACATCTTGATTATGTCATTATTTTCTCTTCTCAAGTCCAGTAGCTGTTATCGCTCTTTCCAGTATTGATAGAAGTTTCCTTCCTAACCTTTTATTTGAAGTAGTGTGGAACGTCAACATCTTGATTATGTTATTATTTTCTCTTCTCAAGTCCAGTAGCTGTTATCACTCTTTCCAGTATTGATGGGAGTTTCCTTCCTGACCTTTTGTTTGAAGGAGTGTAGAATGTTAACATCTTGATTATGTCATTATTTTCTCTGAGTTACATGAGCTATCCATTTTAGCTGTTGCTGCTTTTCAAGTGATGTAGTTCTTTGTGATTCTGTAGTGCCAGTCCACAATATTCAAAGAAGGATGATCTTTGTCAAAAACCTCAGGCTTTACTGGGTCAAAGACTTTTTTTTACCATTGATCTTTGTATACAAAGTAGCCATTATTATTATTAAATACATCAATATTTCAAGTTTCTTGTGAATGAAACCTTACAATGAAAAAAAAAAAATTAATATTACAGTTAAAATATTTTTTTTAAAATCCTTCTTAGTAAGAACCCTTCAAGCAGGTGCACATACATACCTACATACACACACAAAAAACAATCAGTCAGTCACACTTTTACTTTTATATTTGGGAGTTTTTACTTATAATATTGTATTCATTTTTTAAATTTTCATATTTTTCACTTGTACAAGTTAAAAGTGTATATATTTTTTGACTGAATTACAGAACTTTCTTTAAAAGGATAAAATATGATAGTTTGCATACACTTGTGAATACTTCCAGTTCTGCAATTGCAGAATACTTAATAAATAATCCAATTTATGCCTCATCTTTCACCAGAGATTTTTTCACAGCACTCAGAAGACATTTACATTACCATCTGAGAATTCTTGAGACCATTTATATTAAGTCTAAGCAGATTTCTCTCTATAAGCAAAAGTTATAGCTGCTAGGGTTAAATGTAATCTGTCTGTGGTTTATACTTCTGATTCTCTGGTAATATTTTTTCTCTCTCTTTTTTTTTTTTTTAAAGTCATGTATATATTTATATTTTTTTGTCCTTGGTTGGCCCTGAAAAGCAAGGCATGATAACTGATTAGTCCTTTTTTGTTGATTTTTTTTTTTTTTATATTTTTGAACCACCATATTAGAGTAATTTATTTTATCGTTACTCTTCTTTGTCTTTTTTTTTTTTTGTAAACATTTATATATACAGTAGAATCCCTCATATCCAGACATGATTTTGATGTGTATATTTTTGGGTGATATGTAACAGATTTGAAATTTGTTTTTCAGGAAATTTACTTTGGATAATTGCTTATGCTTATTTCACCCTAATGGTTTGTATTGGTGCAAAAGATAATGGAAATAAAAAGAAAAGAAGTTATCGCAAAAAGTGGAAATTTTAAACAGACTAGACATTGGTGAAAGTTCATTGTAACTAGCTAAACTGATTTTTCTCAAAAAAGTTCACCCCACAATGTATTCCAATTCCTGTCTGTGTCAATATGAACAAAAACTGGATAAGGACAGGTATAATTACAACAAAGAATGGAAAGGGAAATATTGCTATGGTAAGAAAAAAATGAAAGTCCCGTTTTCAATGTATGGTAAAACCACGAATTAATGGTCCCCAGAACCAATGAACTCTGGATTTAACTTTAAAACTTTTCAAACATTATTTAAAGGTATGTAGTAACTTAAAAATAAATATGCATGCATATATACTGTATTTACATTTATTTATTTTGTATTAGTACTGGGTGATTTTAGGTCATGAAAAAAAGTGCTTCAAATTAAAAGACAAATGGTTTTAACAGACAATCACACCTATTAGTCTGTTAAATTGAGGTTCCACTATACTTGGTTCTTTATTCATGGGCCAACTTTTGAGTCAGACTTAGCACACTCTCTGGGGATAGGAAGGTGATACTTGAAACATCTTTGCCGCTATTTCTGTCATGACAGACTAACAGACCAGATCTCCCCTTCAGTTGACAATAACACCACCTACTCCTCTCTACATCTCTAACTCCACCTGCTGCTTTGTTACTGTCACTTTGCATCATGACGGACAGCTCATCACTGGTGGTACTAGAATGCACTCTATGTATGCCGATGATCAGAATTCCCTACCTTCTGGCCGAGTGGCACTTGATCCTGAAAGTTTGCGTTTATTTATTTAAATTATATATTCATGATTTATTTTCCAATCTACAGTTTTGTTCACACAGACATAACATTACAAACATGTCACAACATTATTACTATTTCCATGGAAAATGTTCAGATGAACTCCACTCTTTAGTTCAACCAGTTCAGACCTTTACACCTAAGACTTGCTATGCTACATCTATAGATCTGAATCATCCTCCATATTCCATATGTAAGGAGGATGTTCCACTCAGAAAATTTTCTCCCCAAATTGTCACCTTGTGGAACAAACTCCTGCATGCCTCCTTCCCTAAATACTACAATCTTAACCTCTTCAAGTCAAGATTCAATCACTATCTATCGTCCTTATCCTCATAATCTTCACTTCCTTTTACCTCTTCTTATGGTAATATATAATTCATTCAGTAACCATCTACCAGAAGCGGCTCTTCAGCCTTGTAGGGCTGATGCAAGAGTCCAGTGCTCCTTCCACTGATATGGTGCCCCCACTATACTACATCTTAATTTTCATAAGGTAATATTCATATAAAATACACATTTTATTGTAACCTAATTATGTACAATAATGGATCATATGCAATATAGGTGAACAATTCAACTAGAAAAATTGAAAATAAATACTATGTATCTAAATACAAATTAGAGACATCATAATAGATAATTCTATTTTTAAAATAAATCAACAATGTCTTGTGGCAATTTTTAACATCAACTTGAGATTTTTCTTGTTAAAAACTTGAAGAATTTTTACACATTCAACATTATGGATGGAAAAAAATTGTCAGTTTTATTTAGTTTTTTTTTTTTGATGACTTAGTATTGTGACACTGAGGCCATGAGATTGTTAAATGTTAATTTTGAGCAGAAAAGGGTTACATCCAAAATTAAATATAAGCTGGAGGATAGATGGGTAGAGAGAGAGAATGGAAGACATTTTCCCTGGTAATATGGAAGCAAAAAAAAAAAGGGCCATCTGTATTGTCTCACCACTACGAATTGGAACAATGCACCAAGAGTCTACTTTTTCTTATCTATCAAAAATCTGGCATGTGGGTAAAATAAATGGGGGGGGGGGAGAAGGCTTTATCCCTTTCTTGAGAAATTAGAAAAACACATATCATTCATGAGAAGAGAGAGATGGGAATTATATTTTCATTAACAAAAATGAAAACAGGGAATGAATCCACTATGAGGGTCAAGGTTATGAAAATCAATCCTGTCATTACAGGTAGGTGGTCTGCTTTGTGTTTTCTGGCCCATGGATGGGGAATAGTTTTGTCTTTTGTTTGAGAATTTAATATATTTTTATTGATGAAAACAAATTGGGTAATAATTCTATCTCTCGCTCAGAAGGTTAAATGAGAGCACAGTAGTCTGGTTTGTTTTCTCGCTGGACAAAGATAATTCTAGGAAAATAGAAAGGAGTCAGAATTGAAATTAATAAAATTTAAAAATGAGATTTGTCACAAAGACAGTTATGCCAGCTCTGAGAGGTGGGCAGAGTTAGAATAGGAAAGAGGAATTTAGTGCCACCTGTGCAAGTGAGGGTGAAAGATGTGAAGTGAAGCAGGTTGGAGTTAGGGTAGGAGGAATCCATGTGACTACTCCCAAGAAAGGTGGATAATTCTTCAAATTTTGAAAATTGATTAAGGAAGCAGAAATAGAGACAAAAAACCATTATTGGGATTAATGTAAAAATTGAGGAATCACTGAATCTCCAGAACCTTCAGTCCCATGCCAGTCTTGAGCTGAAGTGCATATAAGCAGATGGCTTTGGGAGTTCAGCAACTTAGGGCTAAGAAGCTGCATTGAGTGCCTCTGGAATCCACATCAGCTGCCTCCAGATTTTGAAGAACTTTGAACCCAAAATTATTAAGCAAGGCACAGTGTCACTATGGAGATTGATGCGGGAAGGGGTTAATTTTTGTTGTATCAAGAACTATATAAACCAATTGAAGATTAACCCTATGAATCTTTGGTTTTATTTTTTTTCATTGTGAAGATATTTTTCTTTATTAATATAAAGCACCCACCACGGTTTGAACCAGGACTGTGATGACTATAACATTTCATCTTCCACTACTCAGAGATCAAGAACACAATGTGGGCAGAGTTGGTGTGGATCAAAGCAACCAGCGACCAACAACCAGCTTGGACCAGTGTCTGCATTGACTAGCAGAGTTAGCCCTGTGGTTAAAATGTCATCCTGAGGACCAAACCACTAAATGTGGTTACACCACTGGGTGTAGACAGCAGCAAAAGGCATTATAGCAAGAACAAAAGAAATTCACAGATTTGGATAAAAAAAAAAAAAAAAAGAACCTAGAATGATGTCAAAATCAACAAATATTTTTCATTTTTAATAGTCATTAGTGCTTAGTTTAATTTGTAACATATATAAATGTAGGTAGAAAAAAAACAAATGTTGATATGCTAACAAGGGTCACAAAGCACTACCAGTTAAGGATTCAGTATAGAAAGAAGTATAAATAAAAAAAATAAATCTATTTCGTGAAGCAAATTCTTATTTGTCAATGGGCTACAGAGTTAATGATGATTTTGAAATTTATTGTTAAAGTTATAGATCATTATTAAATTAACCTGAATAAAAGGCTATAAAACATCTTGTATAGAAAGGAAAAAAAAGAAAAGTCCAGTTCAATTTACTTACCCATGAGGATTTTTTTCCAGCTCATTAAGAACTGTATAGTCAACATATTCAAAAACCAAATGAAGACGTTTTTTCCTGCGGAATACTTCAATCAAATTTACCAAATTCTGATGCTTCAGTTGCTGAAATATTGAAATAGTTATACAGTAAAATTAAAGACATGAAAAAGTTAAAATCATTAGAGAAAAAAAATACACCCAAATTGTGTCAAAATAACAAAAAAATTGAAGGAAATTAAAATTTGCTTTTTTTTTTTCCCAACATTAATTTATAGTGTTGTCAAAGTTTCAAATAAAATATATTCATAATATTAGACATAGTTTTTAAAAGGGTTTTGATATCTTCCTTTTAAACATTAATACCTTAATATATTCTCAGCAGTTGTTAAATCTCAGTATATGACTGTGTCATAAGTTTTGTTTTAGGTTAGTAGATTTAATGACATTTTAGCACATGCTATATCATTCAATATTGAAGTATTTAGTCAAGAGGTAGGCATTGGTCAAGGTTGTACTTGGGTCAAGAAGCAGACATTCCACAGGCTTGTACGTGAGCCAAGAGGCCGGCATTTGAGAGGCATTGGTCAAGCTTATACTTAGGTCAATATGTGAACATTGATCAAACTTAGAGTTGAGTCTACAAGTAGGCATTGGTTATGTTCAGTTTTATTTTTGTTAAAATTTTTGAATGAACTTTTCATGATTATAGAAAGTTAATTAGTTACTTATTAGTTTTGTGATTATGTCTATTATAAATAAAATTAGTTTCTGGCTTTAATTAACTGCAACAGGAGCAGCTCAGTTACCCTTTCCTAAAAAATGTTGACAAACAGAATTGCAATGACTGATGTTTTCAGCCATCTGCAGTTAATAGGTTAATTATAACATTAAACAAGCTACAGTTTATAAGATTTACAAAAAGGATGATTCTTCTTCTTCTATGTGTTGTGTACTTTAGGGACGTTGGCGATCATGGCTCTCCACTATTTCCCGTCTTTTGTAGCTCTTAATAAATTTTGTCTTTGTTATCCCTCCTAAACCCTGTTCTTCCATCCATTTACTCATGCTCTCTAGGTAGTTTATACCTGGTTTTCCTCTATCCCTCTTGCTTTCAATATTTCCTACGAGTATCAAATTTTCCAAGCCCTCTTTCCTCATTATGTGTCCTAGAAATTTCAACTCTTTCTGGAGTATAAGTGTCCTTTTTACTTTTTTCTAAAACTTTGTTGTTGCCCACATATTCAGTCCATGGTATTCTCAGCATCCTTCTGTGACTTCAAGTCTTTTCTTCATCTGTGAGGAGATTGTCCAGTTTCACTGTCAAACAAACTCAAAACAATATAAAATACAGTAGCTACCTTTCAAATTATTTTTGTCAAGTGACTCATCACCATCAGTCCAATGATCGGGTGTGGTTGCACAACTGAGCACCTGACAAACTCCCTCCACATGTCTCAGCTGCATGCCAATATCTGGGTTGAAAGTTGAAGAAGTATTCATTCATGCATAGCATATCACAGGCAAGTAGACCTGACAGAGCCCATCCCTCTTCAGGCAAGGCCACAGCCAATGTCCTCCAACTTGAAGGCTTACCCTGGTCACACACAGTTGGAACCTTCTGCCCTGGCTGTTATCTTTGGTTTAGGAAGTCCTCCACCTAGTGATACTTTGTCATCACCCATTTGGGTAAGTAGTTCAGTCCTATGTGCAGATTTAGCCTGTAGATATTGATGAGATTTCACCACCAGTCTAGTATTCCACTTAAATTCATACATCTAGGTATCATAGCAAAGAGCTCACCTGAACCATTACCATGAAAGTAGTTATAAAAAAGGCAGAGAGAGGCAACCTTATGGCAGTGGGCAAGTGACTGAAGCTGAACTGCCAGATCAGGACCAATAATATTGCTGATAATTCTTTGGATCTTATCTAGGAGCTCCAGGAGTGCAGGGGTACCAGACTATATATGGATGAACGGTAGACTTATAGATATGCAAGATGCATCCCGGAGAGAAAAATTGTCTCGAATGATACAGTGAACTGACTTTCTTAGCAGCTGATCTAGCGATGGATTCAATGTAGTCTTCCCACCTCATGTGAGCTGAGAACATTAGCCAGAGAAGGTGCAGTCACTTTCATGAAGGATAGCATCAGCCATGCTGATGGAAGACAAGATGATTAATGGAGAGAAGTTTAGTTTTGGAGGTTTAAAATTGACAAGCCATCTTTTGCCCCAGTTAACGACATACTAGTGGCTTCCCGCTTTGCTTGGGGTGAAACGCTTAAAAAAAAAAAAAAAAAAAAAAAAAAATTCTTTGGTTTAGATTGGTTTGGTTATAAAAGGCTGTAGACAAGTGGCTGTTCAGGACAACTTTCATTTCATGATACTAAAATTGTTTAATCCTCATTTTGCTTCCCTAAAACCAAAGCTTGCCAACAAAACCAGAAGTATCATAACAGAAGAAACAACTGATGGCAGCATTTGGAATGTGATTGCAAATATTTGAGGGTGCCATTTCTTATTAATTTTGTCACTATGAAAGAATGCCTTCATCAAACTGTAAGTCAGGCTTGCATCCAAGCTGTTACTCATGCTGACATTACTGTATTTGTAACCAATTCAGCAGCATATTGTGAAAAAGCACATAGGAATGTTTTATCCAATATACTTGTAAATAGTCAATCGTGTTTAGCACACATTTTACATCTTGTTGGTGAGGTATTCTCACACTGGTCACAATTCGATAATGAAAGTATTGAGCTGAGAAACATTAAGTCAGTTTTTTTAAAACTAAAAAAAAAAAAACTATGAAAACAGCGATATCTGAAATGGCTTGAAGCCTACTAGTGAAGCCCCCCGCCCCCTGTTCCAGTGACAACCTGATGGAATTCATGGTTTAATTCAGCCAATTATCACTCTTCATATGTTCAATTTTATGAAAGATTCTTCAAACAAGAAAAAAAAAAAAAAAACATGGTTTGGCAATAGATCAAATTTTGAAATTAGTAGATGATAGTTTTGTGACTCAACAAATACCCATTCCCACTTTTGTGATGTCAACAAATACTTGTTGTCACTTTCGAAATGCTCATTGTAGTAGAGATTTTGTAATCACAGATATAACTACAGTAACACTGTTGAATAATACTGGTGTCAGACGCCTTCGAATAACACTTGCACTAATAGTACTTGCTCAATAATACTCACTCAGAATTAACCTCCAAATAGTAATAGAGGGTAGAATAGAAATAGTGTTCCGTATAGTAATAGAGGATAGACTAGAAATAGCAATCCATATAGAAATAGAGGATAGACTAGAAATAATGATCAATCTAGACGTCACACGACTTCCTACATATGCATTTCCTCTATGGTCACATGGTCTACTTAATTCAATAATGGGAGTGCCTGTGTTAGCCCACTGGTAATCTACAGTGGGCTATAAATTTTTAGCCTCACTTGATTACAGTAATTTTGGCTTGTGTCATAACGTCTCTTCTTTTTTTTTTTTTAAGTCAATACCATGTTAGTATGAAGCTACTCTCATCTATGAATGATAGTTGACTTGTATTTTGCAATGAAAGTTTGGTGAATTTCAACGAGGGCAAATAATAGGATGGCATCAGTGTGGCAAATCAAATAGAGAAATTGCTAGGTTTTTACAGATTAATCATCAAACGGTTAATAATATTGTCAAGAAATTTAATGAAGAAGGCCATTGTCATGTGAAACAAGGTTCAGGAAGACCAAACATTGAGCAAACGAAAAGGACGCTGAAGAGGGAAGTTATCAGAAACCATCATCAGGGCATCAAAGCATGGAAATGTCACCATATGCGGTGAGAAAGACTCTGAAAGAGCTAAGCTATCAAAGAAGAGTTGCAAGAAAGAAGCCCTTAAATTTAGAGGTTAACAGAGACAGGCGTATGGACTTTGTGAGAGAAATGAGAGCAAAGATTATGAATTTTGTCAGTAATTTGGTCAGATGAAAGTAGATTCTGCCAATATTTGAATTCGGGGCAGGTTTAAGTTTGGAGACTTGGAACACTGAATTTCAGCAGGCAACCATGAAACAGGGAGGGATTGGAGTAATAGTGTGGGGCACTGTCTGGTTTGGAGGGAAATCTGAGCCGATTCTTGTTGACGAGCAGTTAAATGGTCCAAAATATTGTCAAATATTAGAGAAAGGACTACTCCCACTATTTGAAACCAATCAGATTAACAAGAATGTCTACCTTTTTCAAGAAGATGGAGCACCATGTCATACGAGCTAAGAAGCAAAGTCTGAAATGAATCGCAAGGAATCAAGTCACTGCCATGGGTAGCTCAAAGTCCTGACATGAATCTAATGCAGCACGTTTGGGAACACCTTGATCGAAAACTTCGAGAGCATGCAACCAAAATTACATCAATGGCAACCCTTAAAGAAACATTGCTAAAAGAGTGGTAAAATATGGATCAAATGATTGTTGATAACTTGGATCAAATCCATGAAAAATCGAATACAAGCACTGAAACTAGCAAATGAAAGACTTACTCTATACTAGTTCAAAATACTGTTTATTTATGTTGAGTTGGGATTATGTAATTAAATTTTGAAATTGGATGTAGTTTATTTCTCCTAGCTAAAAACTTTTCTTAGGCCACTGTATGTTCAAACTCAAGTGTCGGCAGCAACACTTTATTCTTATATTTTGTTTTGGTTTGGTTTATTTTGTTTTACAACATATCAACCTCAATGGGTTATTTAATGCTAACAACATTTTTTATTGCTGGTAATACTTTGTTTTGTCAAAAATCTGTTTCTGGTAATATTTTTCCTTCAAAAAAAGTATTGCTGGTAATAGTTAACTATTTGCCCATAGCTGGGACCCTAATAGGTGCTACCACCCCTGGTCAGGATGGACCTGGGAACACCAGCAATTAAGAGGTGGTTCCACACTCCTCAAAACCTCCTGATCAGAGGCCTTGCTGCTGGATGTAGTTTATCGTCTTACCCAGGACAATTTATTCCTATATAACAGATAGTACACTGCACCATGCCATAATTTATGTGTCAATCTGCATTTCTTCAATGAGAATGCACTTGTTTAATAAAAACTTTGATAAGCTTAGAAGTACAC